TCCATATCAATATTCTAGAATCATAACAGCTTTGTTTGTGGAACGTAGATTAATCGTGCCTTATCTGTTTAGTTTATGGGACTGCATACAGTCAGGTTTCATTTGATCGATGAAGTATTATAGAATGATGGAAATTCTCGTATAGATGTGACTGATGCTAACTTTTTACTTGCTTGCGTATTACCACAAATTAATACGTATGAGAAAATAGCTGCGTATTCTTTTGGCTAGTACAGATATGTATTGACGCTTCTTCGTTTCTTAATATCTTAAGTGTCTCTAGCAACGGGATGTCTAAACTATAATAGGTTTATTAAGAAAGAAACGCACTGGGACCCACCACGGTGGGCGGTGTGCTATACGGGTTGCTCCTGGTGCTTCTCTTATAGTAGAGTGAACTGTGGAGCAACCCCATGGTTGTTGTGGTCATCTTCGGTAGGCCTGCCGTCGGGGCGTCGTGATTGAGTGCGTAAGATCCTGCGACCCCAAGACGGGGGAGGTTCCAATGAGTTTTACTGTGTGATTTTTGTCGGTGAGTCCCACACCTCGTGCCAAAATGCATTTTCTAACAATAAAAAAAAATTAAATAAGGCTAATTTCACTTTTTAATTGTATGTATGGAAATTCGAGATATAATCATCATAATTGAAGTAGAATTCGTGAAATATCAAACGCTAATTATATTAAGAATCCTTTAAAAATTGATTTAATTAAAAAAGATTTTGAAGTAAAATTTCTGTAGGCGTGTTTGAGGGGTAAGTCAATACATTGGAAAAGTGAGTGTCGCGGAAAGTTTTATCCCATCAAAAACATTCTGTAAAAATATTGCAAGTCTCGCAACGCATTTCTTCTACCTCAAAAAGCTATGAGATGTAATGTAAAACCAAGTCGGTTAATTTATTCATTACCTATCTATGAAAGCATCTATCCGACAACTTTGTCATAAATCGTTACCGAATTAGTTAAGTTACAACATTTTATAGTGACCGTATTAATATTAGATATATTTATTTCTTTAATTAATAGAATGACTTGGCCATCGCACGGAAACATAATCACATAAGAGTCTACTACTTTAAATAGCCCTAATTAAACATATCATGACCAAGGTGGACGGACGACTTGGTCAAAGTCGCTGGAGCCCACTAGATGCGGATGGCACAAGACTGGTTGTCGTGGAACTTTTTGGGAGAGGCCTATGTCCAACTGTGTGTGTGTTTGGGCTGAGATGAACTGAACATAGCACTAGCGGGTCAAATTTATGCATACACTAACATAAATAATGCACTCAGAACGCTAATTTTAGGTAAATTTTGTTATTTGTAGATTCTATTATCATGTGCGATGGCCAAGTCATTCTATTAATTAAAGAAATAAATATATCTAATATTAATACGGTCACTATAAAATGTTGTAACTTAACTAATTCGGTAACGATTTATGACAAAGTTGTCGGATAGATGCTTTCATAGATAGGTAATGAATAAATTAACCGACTTGGTTTTACATTACATCTCATAGCTTTTTGAGGTAGAAGAAATGCGTTGCGAGACTTGCAATATTTTTACAGAATGTTTTTGATGGGATCTCATTTCTTTTTGTAAATATTTCTTCTTTTTCTCTTTTCTTGTACTATTTCTTGTGTGACAGCTAAGGACTTTTTAAAAGCCCACTCCTTGTCTCTGTGGGCTTTTTTCAGAGGCTTTGATATAGGTAACAAATTTTGACAAGTCTGGATGATAAAAAATCTAAGTCTATTGTATTGGGAAATTACGGACTCCTGGACTTTAATACTACTATCTTATGCATTAAGAATAAATATGTATAGTTAATTTAACGAATATTTAAATTTCATTGTTGACCCTAAATACCTACCCCGATACTGATATTCGACTTACATAAGTTTAATAAGATGTGTAGATTTATGTGTCTATCTGCAGCATCGTAGTTAAATCCCGAAAGTTGTATTCCATTCCATTTTAAAAGTAATTTTCGAAGAGATTGATATTTCATGACCTCTATATTCCATGTTCTAATAGGTGGGTACAATTACGAGCAATGAGATGTTGAGAAGGTTTTCTAATTCATATCAACAAGATTCTTTGTAAAAGAAAATGTACGAGCTTTGTTTCAAAATTAAGTAATCGTCAAGTTGTTTCTTAATTAGGTATATATTTTAATCAATTAATTATAAATAACAGTAATCGAATATTAGTAGGTATAAACTATACACGCTTCACATTACATTTATGTACCCATTTGTATATGCATAAAAATGTATACAGCTACTAAAAAAGCTTAAAATATTATTTTCGCGTTTAAAAATACTTTTCTAATACATATAATTGCAAATATAAACATTAATAAATAGACCAATCGAAATTAGGTTAGTAATTACGAGGGAACATAGGATCGGACGTACAAACATACATACCTACAGGTAAAACACTAACCTAACCCCCTTTTACAGTGCAACTATTGTATAATTAATTTACCATTAATTATAAATTTTATAAGAATATATGAATGAGGTGAAAAAAATAAAAGTAAGATATCGGGAAATGAAAAAATAATATTTAAAATAAATAATGTAAGGAAAAAATAGTGTAAATTTAATTAAAATATTTTATGATTTTTAAATGAAATTTATATTTGACATAACGGCACAAATTAAGGCAAGCTATGATGAAGTTTATTTATATCAAAATATTTATATTATGTGCTATTTTATTGTGACCTATTATTTTAAAAAATACCTAAACCTTCTAGCGTTCCTTGACGTCGTTAAAGTGGAGAAATTGACTAACAAATTAAATACTTAGTGATAACAAACGGAACTCTGAGAAAGATATATTTTAAGTTGGATATTTAAGTTAATAAAATAATATATGAGTTATTCCTGTGTTTTTTTAACATGACTAAACTAAATATTGATAAATACATATTGTATGTATTAGTCAAGTAGAAGACAAACTAACGCTCCGAGGGCTCTGTACTTTTTTTTTATAGTTGGGAAATCCTATTACGGATACCACCCGAATTCCCCCGGGCGACTCTCGCTACGGAACACACGAGTGTTCGATTACTTGTATATTTCTTTTATATTTAAGATCTTTTATACATATAAGTTTTAATTTATATATTAAATATATTATTTCTTAAAACTCTTTACAATATTGATAATTACATTTTAGTCGTCGCTAACACTTACAGTATATCCACTATTTACCCAGCTATACATTTGGGTAGTTTAAGTGACGAAAAATGATATGTATGAACTGCAAAAATAACTTTGTAATCCCATATATCGCATATCTATTTGTATAGGAATACAAAGTTACTTATGCAGTTTGTATATCTCGAAAACAGGATTGAAATTGCATGATGTTTGAGTTTTTCCTTCCGTTATAGGCTAAACACTAATTGTGTTCAAAATTTGAAGCTCCTATGTCTGCTAGAAGTACCTTAGAATTTTGATGATCGGTGAGTGAGTGAGTGTGTGAGTGACGATATTAACGAATTTTGATCTGCAACAGTTCTTAAACTACAGGTTCAAATTGAATGTAATTTGGAAATATGCCTAGTTTTATTATGTTCTTTTAGTCACTGAAAATTCAGGCTTCTAGCTTTATCCATAACGAAGTTATGGGGGGGTGGAAAATGCTCTGAATCGCTTCGAGAAAAGGATGGTACTGTCGTGCCCTTTTTTGCTCGACTTGGCGGGGGCACTCCGTGCCCCCCGATAATAATTACTACTTATAAAAATTGAATTTTTATTACTGATAATTTTATAACAAATATTATATTTATATTTTGATTTATTTTAATTTAATGATAGGGGCTGTATCTGACACACAGCCAAAAAATTTTACTTCACTCATTTTTCTTCTTATAGAAAAAAAAATCTTATAATAATTTATTATTACTAAGGGATCCCAAAGTACTACGTACACTTCCTTCGAATATAATATGAGTAGGAAACTGAATCGTTATATTTTATTAAAATATTCGATATGCATTCATAAAATTGAGTCTAAAGGCCACAATTTGATTAATTTTTATGACATTAAAACATATCACGATGCTAATTTACGTTAATTTGAAATGATTTTCTCACCTCAGACGCAATTATTTAAAAAAAAAAACGTATTTGTAGCCCTTGACGGATGTTGACAATATCGTGTCTCTCTAATTCAAAATTAAAAAAAAACCGGCTTTTTTTTTAAAATCGATTTTGTTATATTTGATTGATTTTTTTTCCATGCTAATTTGACATATGCAGTGTTATTTACTAGTATATATTTTATTCATTATTTTAAATTTATAATTATATAGGTCACCGTCTCATCACATAAAGGACACCACAAAGCATCCTTATAATTTAATAAAATACCTAATCTAAACAAAAATATTAAGTGAAGCTTACGAGCTTTTGTCAAATTATGAGCAAATAATATAGAGTTATAAGGCTAAGATGCTTAATAACGACACATTTTGTAAATTTCTTACAATCCTTGTAAATTCCTCTGTACATGAATAGGATTTTATTAACTAGACAAAGTACGACTTTGGTTCTGCATATTTTATTAATATTTAAAAAAAACGAGCTTTCAAATTTAAAGTTAGTTAAAGTTTGTTAGTTAGTTAAAAGTATTTTATTGTGAAAAATTATAACAAATATAAATATATTAATATAAGACATAGAAAGGCAAGCATTCTGCTTATAATGACAATGCACCTACAAATCGAATATAAAACTAATGTAAGCCATCCCAAAAAAATACCCTTTGCAAACAATATGAATTAGATTCATAAATATCAAACACTTCACAAATTTATAATTTACTAAAAATGATATAAATAACAATTAAAGTCAGGGGCATATTAAGTAGGTAATAAACGTGATGAGATGATTTACATTAAATTAAAGCCGAGATCGTATATATAGGCGCTCATCTAAGGAGAATCTATATTATCACAGATATCCTAACACTAACACAATGTCTCTTCTTCGATCTCTTCTTCTGGTAAGCATTTTATAAAATTATTTTATCTACAAACTTATTTATTTATAGAAAATGTCATATTATTATTACTATACCATAGTATATTTATGTAAAGGTCGATTTTAAGCTTTGAATAATTAGCCTTCTATCTCGATTTCTAAGAATAAATTTAATTATACGAACTCAGTAAAAATTTGCAAAGTCCGTGTCAGACTCAATTTCGAGAAAGGTTTTAGGTTTTTGTACCTAGATATTTTTTTTTTGTTATTGAGGTTAAATAGGTATAATATTTGTTATTTTTCGAATACTTTTAGCTCGGGAGCTTTAAAAAAACGAATTGTCATATATTTTCTTTTACATAATTTTAATTGTACTGCTTAAATGGTAAAACTTTTTTCTTGTAGTCTAACCCCCAATTTCGAGTTTAAATAGTTTTCAAAGGCAGTTGGTGTCAACAACCTGCCGCCAGTTTTCATTTTTTTTTACATTTTATAAGTGCTCACTTTGGAACTGGTAGGAATGTATAGATGATACAATATAACAAACAATTAATAATATTAGAATTATTAATTATTATTAATTTAAGTTCCATATACTTTTGTGACTTTTTTTTCTCCCAAATTAATTTATGATTTTGTGTGAGACGTCTCTATAATAACTATTGTATAATAATTATTTTTAGACGTCAAAAACCTCAATATCACCCGTGACCATGATTGCAATAAATCATTCGAAATGTCGGAAACCAAAAATCTAAATATATTTGCACAAAATTCGTTAAGATAGTTTTATTTTACATAACCCGTTTCATAGTGAGACGCATTTTAGAAAAAAAAATTAAAATGGCGAAATGTTGTTAATGCCACGAAGATCTAACTCCTTTATTATAACAATTAGTGTTAATTTAATATTCTAATGTATCATTTAATTTTCAATATTTTATTTCAGTATATTTGGAGAAAATGCCCTGTGACAAATTCTTGTGTTTTAACATCCGATTTACTGAATCCTATAATATCTTAATTTTGTCCTTGTGTCCTATTTTTTTATCTCTTTTATTAAATTTTTATTCGTGTAAACTGAATAAATAATAATAAAAATAAAACTTATAATAAAATCTACATTAGCTTACTTTTTTTACTATCAGGTTGTCAGCCTAGCGGCGATCATCTTTGCAGCTGAAGATGAAGTGTGAGTAAAATTTTATAATCAAAATTTACTTGTTTTATAATAATTAATTATATACAAAAAAGTTTAAGAATAAAAAGAAGCATGTTGTTATAAATACTTTCGTAAAACTCAATTTTATTTAGTATTTCTACACTTTATACATAGTTTTTTCATAGTTTTACATAGTTTATTCATAGTTTACCATAGAAATAACAAAGGGATATTATTTAAATATTGTATTATTTTCTTCCCATAGAGCACCAGTCAACCCATTATTCCAGGTTTTATCGCCCTCGCCTTCACTTTCAACTTCAAACCAAGGCGCTGATATTGCAAGGTACGATCCGTCAAACATTGATAAGTTTTGTTGCAACAACCCCGGTAAATAGCACCCTGAAAAACCATTTGCACATTGCAGTTGGAATGCACGTCATTGCGACCACAGCGAGAACGATAGTTCTGGTCATTTCACCTGGCCCTAAATAAGCAAATTTTAAATGTCCATCTATGATAACTACATACGAATATAATATGTAGGCTACACCATGTTATATAATCAATTTGTGATACTATTTTTAGCGGTGAGCGCGAAGACAATGTAGGCGCCAGTGGTTCACTCAAAATAGGTGGCTCTCTAGCTGGTGGCGTCTCTGATGATAAAGATAGCAACAACCAAAATGGACAAGATGTTTCTAATATCGAACAGTAAGTGCTATTAATATGGATATTGTACAACATTTAAATGAGTTAAAATTAAAGTACAAAAATTGCGATTTTTCACATACAAGAGAAAACATATACTTATTATATTATTATTTTTAATTTTTTCAGGTTGAGTATTGTGTCACCAGCCGTTGAACCTGTAAGCTCTGTCAAGCTAGTGAGTGTTGCTGAGCCAGCAACCTCTGCTGAACCGGCAGACGCTCCTGAGACTGTAAAGGTTGTCGAGTCTGTAGCAAACACTGCTGAGCCTGTAAGCAATGCCGAACTTTTAGTTAAGGCTGCCGAGCCTTTAGTAGAGGCTGTTGAGCCTGCAGCAAAGGCTGTTGAGCCTGTAGTAAGCAATGCCGAACCTGTAGTAAAGGCTGCTGAGGCTGAAATCAATGCTGAGCCTGTAAAAATCACTGCTGAACCAGCAAGCACTGCCAAACTAAGCCCGATCGAACCAGTAAGCTCTATCGCATCAGTGCCCGTAATCGTGGCTGAGAAGGTAGAAACATCTGCTCCCTCCGAGGATCCTATTGCCATTCCCGAACTCCGAGGCTCTTTCACTCCTGTTAAAGCCTTCAGTTCTGCATCAGTATACACTAAACCAATATACGTAGCACCGGTGGTTAAAGTCAACCCTGGAAATTATGACTACAAATACGGTCTCATGCGCTATGAAAACGAGTATATCCCAGAAGGATATCGTTACCTTTATGAAACTGAAAACAAAATAGCTGCCGGGGAAGAAGGACATATTGAGAGAATTGATAATGAAAGAAGTGGTATGAAGGCTAGGGGATTCTACGAATTCGTCGCCCCCGATGGAGTTACCTACAGGGTGGATTATACAGCCGATGAGCGTGGTTTTATACCTCAAGGCGCTCACTTGCCTTAGTTATTTATTATTATAATTGTTTTTGCAAAAAAAATGCGTTGTTGAAATTTATGTTACAAAGGTAATAAATATTATTAATTATAATTAAATGTTCTAATAGTGTTTTATTACAAATTATTCATAGTAATATTTTGTAGATCGAGTACAGAATTCAATTATATCTCAAAAGTGGAGCCATACTTATACATTTAAAAAAAACATCAATTTAAATAGTGTATTTTTTCTATTTGTTTTATACTGTCTTAGTTAAAAAATAATATTATAAGTTACTAAGCCACTATTCATATCATCATATAGTCATAATTAAAAAAAAATTAAGCAGAAATAAATTATATGTCATGTGTCAAATGTCAAACATTGATATATTGATATATTTGGTCATAATATCCGGATTATTTATAAAAACCAATGAACTAATAAGGTCAAGAATATAAATAATAATTAATTAGATGTGTTTGTGGTAATTTGGTAAATCTATATAATATTTAAATATTTTATATTATAATAATAATTAATATATACATTATTATAATAAAATAGTAACTTAGCGAAATCGATATTCGCTATTAACTAAATTGTTTAGTGCTAACTTATAATACGAGTCAACATTTAGGATACCTTTTACTACAGGAAAATCTTTCATTCCCACGGAACAGTAACTAGTTCTATCGAGTCGTCCTTAGAAATTTGTATGGCTGACGCTGGCTAAACCTTACGAGATAGGTACATCAAAATAATTTACTAGAAAATTGTAAGTCTCAATAGGGCCTACAGAAAAATCTGCAATAGTTTTAAGCTTTTCTCCTAAGGTCCACTCGCAATAACTATTCATATCTATTCAAAACGCATCTAGGGTAGTAGGGATGCACCCGAGCGAAGCAAGGGTAAGTCGCTAGTTACACGTATAAAATATTTTTTAATTAGATATGATGTAATTTTATTCTAAAAGGAGAGTGTTATATTTTTATGTACGTTGATCTTGACTGATTCTGCAAATTTAAATCGTATTTAATTTATCACCTCCGGGTAAATTACTAAGAAATTAATTGAAATTCTAAGAAATCTATTGTTAACTGACACACCGGTGTGTCCGCGGTCGTGGAGGGAATAATTATATAATTTTATTTGGCATAGAGCCTACCGTTTTGGAGAAAATACAAAAAATGAAATTTTAAGTATGTAAACAAATTATTTTTGTTTGCTTCTAATTGTCATAGTAACTTGAAACTTGTATGTTGTGTATCATATACTCGTATTTTTGATGACAGTATAATAATTCGGTATCATCTGTTGGTGAAGCTAGACGGTGGATAGTGGAACTCTACAAAAGCTTCGAATAAATATTTTGAGTTTGGGCTTCTGCGGTTTGTTTTGATCCAGAAGTCCCATTAAGTTTGTCGTCGTAAGACGTATTTGTCTGTTGTATTTTTTTTGAGTTTAAGAGCCTGTTTTTGATATTACGAGTTTTTTTAATTTATTAATATTCATATAAAAATTCTTAGACTAGAATTATAATAGAAAATCGAATTAATATTTTTAGTATTAGTTACTACATATATAAAATATTAACTAATATGAATTGGTGCCTAAGCACCTGCCTGATAGGTAGATTATATATTTTATCGTATAGTTCGGTCAATAGGTGAATCAATCTACATAAAATAAAGTCATTTCCGCGATATTACCATTCGATAAAGGTGCATTTTCTTAGCCGTAAGTCAAGTTAGAGGGGTCGCTCGAGAGGCGCTGGCGGCGCCACTGTCGTAAAAAAACGCGTTTCATTCGATATATCCAGGACAGCTCGTCATACGTAAAAAACTATAGAAATCTTTTCTCTTTTAAATTAAAATTCCTATCTATATATTTAAAACTTTTTTTTTTACTTTTTTTAGGTAATTATTTGAATTTATGTGAACATGTTTGAACAAAGTTATTGCATAATAAAAATTACGAAACATCAAAATGTATTTCTTAAATTTGATGGACATGGTTGAAGAAATTGTATTTAATTCATCCTTGTATTAAAATTTATATCACTGTAGCACGTACATGGACGGAATGAGTAAATATTTTTAATGTGAATTTATTTAATATTTATATACATATAAGAAAATTCTGAGTCGAATCTGTACATTAAATATTTTTTTAGAAAATCTTATTGAAATAGTCATTATTATCGATACAAAGGTCTAATCTGTAGTTTTTAGAATTTTTGTGCCTGTCTCTCTGTCTGTCTGGAAACGCATCACGAGAAAACCACTGGACAGATTTTCATCAACATATAGTATACTTCTTACTGCGGGGAAGTATCTCATATCTGAGAAATCTATAATAAACGTTAAAACGTAACCAGGGACGAACCCGAGTGGAGCAAGGGTGAGTCGATATTTATTATCATATAATAAAAACAATATAATAACAGGTTAAAAATTATTTAAAAGGTTTTAGCTATTTGCATTTAGCACGAAATTAAGTTAATTGATAATATGTAACCAGAATATTTTTATCTCAAAACTTCCTGTTTATAATGCATACATAAATCAGACTAGATTTTTCTCAAGGCAATTAATATAATTTTTATAATATCAAATAGATTATTATATTATATTTTTCCAAATAAATAAGTTAGCAGTGATATCGTGTCGTCGAACTTAATGACTAGTGAGCTTTACTGACTGTCGACGAGTCACTTATCTGGCGGCGATTGTAAGATTGATGATCTGTCTACGCAAGAAATAATTTTTCTTGCTAGGATCAGATGAACCCTGTCGTACTTGACATTGTTTTTTTTATTCTATGCGGAAGTGAACACGACGTTTTATTTACGTATTTTAAGCTTGTAGGCTGTGACTGAAAAGGAAATTTAATGATTTGAAACTTGAAACGACGAGAAAGAAAGTTTACTATATTTTACTAACTTTTAATGATATCTTTCTGGTTCCTATATTTCCTTTGCTAAAAATAACTTTAACCCCTTACTTCATTTTTAATCAAACTAGAATATTCCTATTAAACCAAACACTTGTATGATATACTCGTAACTTATAAGTAAATTCCATATTAGTACCTACGGATAAAACTATCAAAATTGTGAAAATGTAAAAGGTACGAAAGCATTAAGCGTTACTCTCATAGCTCTGTAGCAATTCTATGAAGCCGCAAGCCTTTGATAGTTTTAGTAGGGGAGCCCAAGAGGGGATTTTCTGTAGTTACTCGAGCGCGGCAGATTAATATACAGGGGGATACCTTGTACCCGGTTAAGTACCTCCACAAAACATGAGGCCCATATATAAGGCCGCCCGTGAAGGATACAGGATCAGATTAGTAAAAAAAAATTGACCACCAGAAATTCTCGAGCGCGTCAGATTAAGGTAGGGTGAGTTAATTACATCCTAAAAAGTGTATATTCCACTAATCTGACAATTTGAGAGTGACGTAAAAAAAGGGGAGGGCAACAAAGTTGTAAAAAAAAAACGTCATCTCGACATTCTCGAGCGTAGCTAAATTTTTTTTTATTTTGAAGGAAATAATGCAAGAATAATGAAAAATATATAATCTGACGATTTCCGCAAGCCGAAATAACAAAAATTCGTCGATAAAGTTAAATGCGTGCAGCTGCGTGATGCCTACATTTCCTTCTCCGCGTTTCTATTCCTCTCTCACTCTTTCTCTATCTATTACTCTCTCACTCCGTCCCCACTCTGGTTTCTGCCGCCATGACACCATCACAGCTGATCATAAAGAGTCTAGGGGTGTGCGAACATCGTTCGAATCGAATCGAATATCAATATTCGATTCGAAATTCGAATAATTCGTAAAAATTTCGAATAATTCGAAAGTTTTCGAATAATTCGCGAATTAATGAAATATCTCTGGATCTTCAATTCGAGAGATATCGTGAACGAAAGAAAACCGAAAAAAAGTGTTTTTTCGGGATTACTCCGAAATTTTTGGTTCGATCAATTAAAACCTGAAAATAACTTATGAGGATTGCTTGATCTATTCAAAAGTTATTGCGGTTTGAAAATTCCAAAAATAGTGTTCTATGAAACTTCTTTCAGACTTTCGAGCTGGGAGAGCTCAAATGCATAGAAATATTATTTCTTTGAACTCTGCGAGCTCAAAATATCACATAAATTATATTTTGAGCTCAAAAATGCCATAAGTACAATTTTAAGCGCACAGGAATGGAATTAGCGGGAAGTTGCAGGTATGGCCTTTAAGGTGAACCGTTTTTCTAAATTTTTTTGTCAGATCAGGCGAATCCCTCTAGATAATCGTCAGATTATGAGACAGTACGTTTAGAACATAAAGATGAACCATATATATCTTAATCTGACGCGCTTGAGTATTTCAAGATGGCGATTTTTTTTTGCACATTATGAAAATGGCCGCGAGTTTGCGTCCCATCGAAATCGTCAGATTAGTGAATGAGAGCTTTTTTTTGGTGCAATTAACACTCCCTTAGAAAATCTGACGCGCTCGATTAAATTTTTTTTTTTTCATTTTCAACCCTTAAATACAACCACCCGCATCATGCAAACGATCAGATTAACATACGTACATTATTAAAAATACGTAGGGCATTTATGCTATCAATATCTGACGCGCTCGAGGATGTCTATGCAACAGTTTTTTTTTACATATTTAAAAATCTATAGCCGCTTCCCCCACCGATGTAAAGGTATATATCATATAACATTTTTTTCTTCTTATCATCTAAGCTTTGCATCCCAATAGGTCTCTACGACGCTCGAGTAAATCCCCATTTAGCTTCGTCGGCTCCCCTACCATTTCATAAAATTGTCAGATAGTAAAAGATTTTCCGGAAATAACAGCTGTGCTAACTGAAGCTTGGGCTGTAACGTTGAATGAAATCGAAATATTTCCGATTCCATTCGAACACGTGTATCAAGCTTGTTTAGTGAGAGCTGCTTATTCTGACGGAACACTTATGGGGCATTAAAACTCATGTGTCGATATTATTGGGTCTATTT